TTTTCGGACAGTTTCGTTGAACAATTTCTCTGTAAAAAAATAAAATGGCGGCGGAAATTTTTAAACGTCGCATGGCGCTTGTGATACTTTGCCTGGAAGGTGACGAATTACGGATGCTAGGACTTGGTGAGTTTTTGGACCACTGCTCTCTTTTTGGGCCGTAGTATCTTGATTTATTTTGCGAGGAAAGCTCCGTATTTTTGATGGATGCCTGTCATTCCTAATATATTAGAGCGCCTTCAGTTTCGTATGATACTGTGCAATACCTCTGGTGTGAAATAGTTGCTTCAAGCGCCGTACGTGGCACGCTGCGGTGCAGCAGGCGGGCAGCCAGCGCGAAACGCGCATTGGCGCCTACAAACCTAACAGGGATACTTCACGCATTGCGCAACGCGTGAAGTATCCCTGTTAGGTTTGTAGGCGCCTGTGCGTCGCTGCTCCGCTTGGTGTTAGGCTCCAATATTTAATCTGGCGGAGTCAGCGTTATTTAACTCATGATTTTGAAATGTTTGCAAATCCTGTATGGATTATTCTCGTTTTAATTGAAGAAAAAAAATATGTATTAAAAGAAAATATAAAGTGTTTTTTGTAAGTATTAAGGTGGTTCCGTATCAAACTTAATGATTTCCAAAGCACACAAATTTCTACACAATTTCTTATAGCCTTTTATAATCGATGGCGAAAAAGCAACAGCCAGGCGATAAAGTGCAAAGCCCGACTATAGGAACTGTAGCCCGGCTGCATAATTTTTTATCGCTTCGTATAGCCCGGCCGTATGATTTTCTCCGCATTCTACAGCCAGCTATATGATTTTCTGTAGCCTTCTTTAGCCGGCTATAAGAATTCCTATGGTATTTTGAAACGCAGCTCTTATCTCCAATTTTTACCAGGGGATACTTCTAGTAGAACTGGACTCACGGACATTTGAAAGTGAAACCACCAAAGCATGGATATTGATGTTCGAAGATTTCAGTTCATGGTAGTTTTTCTTCTCTCCGTTTTTAAAAAAGTTGCTCAACATTTTTGTACTATCGCCATTTAGCGTGAATGCACCCAGCAGATTTGGGTGAATACAGCAACATCGACTTCGTTACTACAGCAGTGAACGACAGATGGACTGCATTTTGCAATTTGGAACTATAAATTCTAGCCTGGTTTAAAAACGACGTATGTGCCATTAGTTTCCCTATGCACATGAGTGTTTTTCCAGAAGAGCCAGAATTTAAAGTTCCAAATTGCAAAATGCAGTCCAGATCATCTGAACCAATTTGGAGCGCGACTGAGTGGATAAAAGCGATGGCCATGCAAGAAAGCTTTTGAACTCATTTAAACAGAAGTCAGCCAAAAGTAATTTCCGAATTTTTCCTTTCGATTCCCGGAAAATCAAAGCAATCGAGTGTGCGTGTAACGATGAAGTTTTTAAGCATATTCGGAGTCCCAGAGAAAATTTTTGGGGCTTCGAAAATTCAAGGTGGGCTTCTTCAAACGAATCTCGGATAGGTAATTTAAATGCGTGACTATCGGTAAAGAATAGATCTTTGATGAAAAAGTTTCCTGGCTTTTCTGACAACCGTCTACCATCAGTATCAAAAAGGGGCAACCGTGATTTCCAAAACTGTAAACTTTACAGTGAAATTTACAATGGAATGTACGTTTTTCACTGTTATTTTAGAAAAGAGCAGGAGAGGATGACAAGTTTTTACGATTTTTTGACCAACATAAATTCAAAAAAAGAAGAAAAAAAGAAAAAAAATGTAAAAAGAGGTAGGAAAACCTGATGGGGATCGGGGATACAGTGACAGCAAATTTGCTTTTTTTAAAAAAAAATATAGAAAAAAAAAACAACAACAAAAAAAAAACATGTATCTAACTACATGAGGCGATCCATAAGGCCCCAGTGAATTTACTCAACGACGTAACGCCCGCTTGGCAAATAAGATATGAAAACACACATTTTCTATTTTAGAACTACTGATAAAGAACCGTGGACGCTGTAAGGACTACCACACAACCGGTTGCATAAAAAACTCGGTGATATATTACGACCTTGCTGACCCGCCAATGACCTTCAAAGAGACAAATCAAAAAGGAACCTAGATTTCGGTGGAGCACGCATCGGATGTAAGAAATTTTGACGAGGGATAGTACTGCCATGCTAAGGGAAAACGCCGTATGAGCCTTCAGGCGTTGTCAAACTTCCTTCGATGAAATACGAAATTCCTGGAAAACTTGAGCATATTTTTCTCTCAATTTTTTTACAGAATTCCATTCACAATTTACTCTATGATATTAATTAGGCAACGTTCAAACGCTTGCGCGGCGTTCTTTCTTGTCGCGGCAATGTTTGGTTCCGTGCGTGAGCGCTCGTGCGCTCGACGATGCAACGTGTAGACATGCTGAATGTGAGCAATGGCGAGGCGTGAATGATCGATTATCGATATTTCCCCATTTGAAGTTATGGTAAAATATCGATTATTGAAGTGTTCGGTTCGAACACCCTGTTTATCGATCCTTTTCCATAAGTTTAAATGGCAGATCAATCGATATATCGCAAAGCACAAAATCTGCGGTGTAAATCAGGCGACCGAGCCGCGCAAGATTGCGCGATTGATTTTCTTCTTTTTTTGCACATATCAGCACTTGGCGTCGACAACCTTTCCTCGTAGTTTATGACGCTAAGCGGCACAGCCCGACAAGATTTGAAGAAAACACGAAATGCGGCTGCGGATACACTGCCGTACTAAGGAAGAACGTCGTATAAACATTCGAGAATTGCCAAATTTCCCTAGATAAAACGCTTATTTTTGACGGCATTCATGCTCATTTTTCTTTGAAATTTTCAGACATTTTGGATTAAATTGCGTAAAAAATTGTCTGAAAGTTTTGGGGGAGAATATTCACAATTTTCCCAGTAAATTCGGTTTTTATCGAAGGAAACTTGGCAACGTCTAAAGGCTAATACGGCGTTCTTCCTTAGCACGGCAGTACACCTGACAGTGCGGGGTCGAAAATTCACAAGAAAATTAATTTTAATTAATCAAGTACTTCGAAAAATTATTTTGACGTACTAGCCACTTAGACAATTGGATTGGTATCTTGAACTTCGTGTTATTAATAGCATCTGGCATAATATTTCGATTTTTTTCTTCATTTTTCAATTCTCTGACTATTCTAGAAGTTTTTTTACTTTCCCCAACTCCAAAATTTTCCTATTTCCTGCCTTTCCCCGACCTCAGAACAAAAAATCTATTAGGATTTTTCTCCTTTTAATTATGATGCTTTTTCCTGAACTTGGGACAAAAATTCCACTTCTGGCAATTCAAACTATAGAGGAAGGCATTCGAAATTTGTTCTTGCTCGCTCAAGTGGCATTTGCTGAAGTTTTGAAGTTTCTCACAAGTTTAACTAATTTCTTCTGCAAATACTTTGACTTGAAATGACAATCCAGCAGACTTATCAATTTTTTTTCCCTGATGGGGTTTTTTTTTCCTCTACAAACAAACAAAATAATCATATGTTCCAGAATGTCAGGGTTCAAGTATTTTCAGGGACCACAAAAAAGTTGGAGGGGAAATCACGAATATTTAAGTATTTTTATGAATCTACACAAACCTTATAAATGCACAGCCTTGTATGGCAAATGACAGAAAATGTGAACTGTAGCTTTCATACGAGTATTTTTTCCAAAGTATTTGATGAAGCATGCACTTTATTTTAAACTCCTTTCTCCTAATCAAGATGAAGTTTCATTTGTCAGGGACGGAGGTTGGTAAATCCCTACATCAGTACACTACATAAAATCATACAGTGTTGGACTCATAGATAATCAGGCTGGCACTGAACTGTCACTAAATCAATAAAATAAATGTTTTCATATAAAGATTGGAGGCACAGCACATGGAGGAGGCAAGTTTACATCCCAAAAAAAGAGGCACATTTGTGCATGGATGAATGAGACACAGCATGCATTTTTCATTCATTTTTTTCTTTACAAACAAAGCTCCTTAGAAGAGATCAGAAGCAACAAGCAATCAGAGGAAATTTTTACAACTTGGAGAGCTGGTTCAGAGGGCCATTCATGGGATAAGTAACAAGAGCGTTACGTTATTTTGTTTTTACGTGTTGAAGGGTAGGGACCTACAACACAAAAGTGTTCCTGGGAGGGAGGGGGGGGCGAAAAATCTGAAAAGCAGTGCGTATTTTATGAGCATTCCTTAATGGTGGTACGTCTTTGCTGAGAATAGAATGACTACTCCAAAATAAATGTTTGATAATGGTATTAAATGTTCAGAAGTTTTCTGTCCTTATGTTAATCACAAGATGATTCATAATACACCACTGAATTCTTTTTGCTGGCTGTTCATTATTTTCCCTGCCTTGTTTGAATTCAACACATCACCGCCTATAGAACAATAGGTTCCATATGAATGTCACATAAATAAAAATACTTATACAGGTGATGAAAACATCATACTTGTCATTAAGTGTAACAAACAGATTACACATTCAATCAGTGCATAGCACAGATAAAATTCACACACAGAGATTTCAGAGGTCCTCCCTACCACAGACTGTATCATCAACTTTAACTTGTGTTCTCTCCAGTCAGGTAAATCTATTTGATCGATGCCAACCGAGGTTTTTTCCTCTTGGCACTGTTTTTAAGTAACAAATATTTATGTGTGTGATACTATTCTGAATAAATAACTAGAACTTTGTCATCATACATTGAGACAAAAGTCAAGAATTGTTTTAGTCAACACACATCATTGGTGCCATGTGACTGCATCCACTAACCTATTGAGTGATGCTGGTTCACAGCTAATCAGAGATTAACATTTGTCTTGACATTAACTCTTCACCATCTGTCTATCTACCTATGATTCTTAGGCGATGATATGAAGTTTTTAACCATGTTAAGATTAGAAGACTTGTGATCAAACTCCCACCACTCCTTTCAAAGATTTACAACAAAAGAGGATTGAAATAAAGAAACTCACCTAAGACGTGTTTCGGAGAAGGCAAACCGAACCTGAAACGTCTAGTATCATGACTGATCTCATGTTTCTCAACCAACTTTAAAGGAACTTTAACATTAGGATCAGTCAGTGTTTTAGGGTTAGCAGCTTTCTTGGCAGCTTTTCTTTTTTCTTTGCTGATTTCAGAGAGGATGACAGAGATTGCGAAACCAACGGTTACGATCACGCCTAATCCAACAAGCACAGTTGGAACATTCTGCAAATAAGATCATTACATCAAATTTGAGGCAGAATATCACAGAAGAAGGATATTTGGAGAAAATATTGTTTTAGGCATCTGTAAAATGGACAAATGTAGATTAAATATAAAATTATTAGAATGAAATGTAAATAATAAAATTAATATATAAATAACCTGTCATGTACTTAGGATACCTGTGTATACCTAAGAACCAAGTTCTACTCAAGTGAAGGAATGCATTCAAAGGTGAGTTGTGTCCACATCAGTTTTCACTTGACTTATTTAGTAAACAGCTCAAAAACTCGTTTTAGTGGGTGGGTGGTGATGATAGCCAGCACGAGTGATCTTCTAGGCAAAAATTACTGAATTTATCTCAAAATACATCCGCAGCATAACTTGGCAAAATAATAGAAGTGGGAACACACTCTAACCTTTCCACATTTCATACTAGATGAATGATACATGACGTTAAAATAGGTTTGTATTAATAAACTGTGTCCAACAGAATGCTTGCATGCATAAGTACGATCATCTCAACGCTCAGCATGACCACCCCTAACTTTGAGATATGAAGATGTATGAGGTATCTTACCAAATTTTGGATCATTTCCCAGATGTATTCTTTGATGTCACTGGATAAATCTCCAGCAGCAACAGGAGGTTTCTTCCTGGTCACGGAACAACCAAAACACAAAAGACATTAGAGAACCAGTAAAGGCTTGCACGATTGATGACTAACAAAAGTGTGTAATAAGTTAAAAATATTTGATGCAGGTTGACTGCAAGGGTTTAAAACTATGAATTCTTCCTTGGAAATATAATTCACGTTAAATGCTGGATATGATCTTACGGAGTAAAGTAGTTTGGGGGGAGCTCATTCAAATCGTGCATGGAATGGTAAACTTTTCAGTACCAAGTACAAACAACATGTGTAAACAAAAGCATAATACTGACAAACATTCTGAAACGATGCTATTGTAGAAAGATAATCTCAGGGGAGAAAATTAAGATTGGGAAAGTTTAGTGAGAGGGAGAGGAAAAAATACAGAAAGAAACAAAAGAGACAAAAAGAAAATAGTAAGCTTACTCTGTCATTGTTCCTGAATAAAATGATGAACATGAAATGATAAACCAACAGATCGCACTAGTTCAAAATGAAAATAACTTACCGTTAAAAATACTGAGTACTGATAATTAATACAATAAAAAAAAGAGGAGGAAATAATCAGTGAGAGGCCGTGCTACGGCATAAATAATTAATAAGGTGACGAATTTGAGGTTATCTACTTTGGCCGCAGGCCGCAGCCAGCGTGCAGAGAGGAGCTTTCACAATGTCTTCCACCAGAGAGCGCTGCCAGCAATTAATGGAATTCAAAATCAGTTCGCGCGAAATTATGGGGTTACATACGTCTTTTTCCCCCTTTTCCATTGCTCTCTCCTTCAAACTAGTATTGAAACATAAACGGCGCTTTTTTCAATTAATCGTTCACGTGGCAAGCAATATGTTCGAATTAGAATCTTCAATACATACATACCTACCCACCTACCTAAATCCACACAGAACTCAATGATTCTCTTCTCTGAAATTTTGCTTGAAAATTAAAAATTTAGCAACTTATCACCTTAGGTAGTAAGTTCAACAACTGTAGTAGGAAGACTTTCTTCATTATATGTTTATGTTTAATTTTATTATGTATTGGCAGTTGCATTATTCCTAGCGTTTAATTTCATTGAATATGAAAGACTGATCATGAGAAGACATCGATAGTGAAACCAAACCATGGATCTAGTTTGCGATGTTTTAAAATCTGTGCCCCTATTTTATTTTCTAAGGGGGACCAACTCAACATTATTCCTTGAAATTTTCATAGAATATTCTTCACGCACAGAGAAAAATCACGAAAAGTTCCAATAGTTGGCGCTGAGCAGTTTGTCATTTCAGGGGTTTGGAGGACGAGTGGAATAAATGCAGTTTTTGCTATTTCAAGAAGTTTCAAAATTACATGGAGCCTTAAGGCGGAAAGAAATTTCGAACTCACTGTTTATGCTTAAAAATTGGATTTTAGTTATAAATTTTTCGCAGGATATACTTCAAGACAAGTTTTAATTCAAATAATTAATATCTCAATTTTTTAAAAACTACGTTTATCCCACCTGTTTTCCAAGCTCCTAATTTGAAGAATAAAGTTTGCCAGGAAGTCTGCAACTTTGCAAATTGAGATACATTTAGTTTAGAAGTTTCACCATCGATAGATAATGTTTGGGCCTTTTCTTACATGCTCAAGTACTGATTCATTGATCATTTGTCAAAGGTTGGGTAATATTATTGTCAATAGATTGTATTCCATACATTAAACAGGTGAGATTATATAGGTATTGATTGGTTCAACATTCAAACATAGCCTCAAAAGTCAATTGAGAAATCTGAAGAAACAGGTTTGTGGTGATGGATTTTTTATTCTTTTGATACCAAATGGCAATGTAAGGTGAAATTGTTAGGAATTTTCTCATTTTCAGCTTCTCCAACTTAAATCTTAATATTTTCGTTTGAGGTAAGGTTCTATTGTTTCGAACCAAACGATACATTGAACCATTATCGAATACAATCCATAGCTAACACGGCTAACATGAAAGGAACTGCCTAGATTTTTTAGTACATCCATCCACATTGAAAAATATTCTACTAACTTAATCCACCTCGACCAGTTGCTTCTAATCTAAAAACTTGACCGGTCTTTATCCTGAAAATAAATTCTAAGATATATTTTTCCAAAATTAAGAATCTGTCTATTATCGCTTTCAGTTTTTACTTGTTTAACGAAGAGAAGATCAAATAATAAAATTTACCTCAAGGCTCATTAAGATCACAATGTGACTTTATAGGAAATCAGTGAGAAGGAAGTGACAGAACAACACCTTAGATGATTACAAAATATTTTCTTTATTAACTTCTTGAATAATTCTTTAATAATTCTAACAAATTTACCTTTTTTAATTTTTTTTTTTTTCTTTTTTTTTTTCTCAAAGCAATTTTAGAGTCTTGGAAGTAGAAAAAAATCAGTACGGAAAAATAATGATCACAAATACCGGGATAATTGGTAAGGAGTAACTTTACTCCTTAAAATATGATGACCACTACAATTATTGATTTCTTTCAAAAATTATTTTTTTGTGATAAAAAATAATCATAAAGATGGGGGGAAACATGCAACTTAGCATTGGTCAATTTAGATAGCTATGATTTGATTTGGCACTTGGGGCAATACAAAAAGTTATTGAAAATAGATGCAGTACAAATTCACTTGATTGTTTGAACTTAAAATAATGGTTAAAAATAGATTAATAATGTTTTTGTACAAATCAAATACTACAAAATCAAATAGGAAGAAAAGATGAATACAATAAAATACATACCTAGATTTCAAAAAAAAAATCTAAGGCCAAAAAAGAAAAAATGAATTATACAAAATAAAAATATACAAAACTCATTACAATTATACAACAAAAAATAGGACAGTTGTGAAGGATCGACGGTTGGGTGCATATTGCTCCTGAGGGTATTTAAGACAGCTGAGACGAATCAACAAATGGACTCATCATTGTTGACATAGCTCGTTTCAACCTACTTGGTGTTTTGTTGAAACTAAAAGCTCTTCCTACTTTTATCCTTGTTCTCGAGGCAAATCTGGACAAAATAAAAACAAACGAAATGAAAATTGTAACAATGTTCTGAGTTAAATTTTGCAATCAAATATTTATAAAAGGTAGTAAAACTCGTTATGCAGAATGCATATGAATACACGGTCAGACCTCAATTTATTGGATTTCATGGGACTAACAAATCAATCCGTTGATTAGAATTAACTTCAGGCCATTGAAGGAACTGGAAGATCAATCCATTAAATTGTGGAATCTGTTAAATCGCAAAATTCATTATATCGTGATCTGATGAATCGTAATCTGATAAATTGCAATCTGACAAATTGAGGTCTTACCGATTGGCATGTAGCCAAATGAATGACTATGACGCTAGAAAGAAGAATAATTTTCAGCTGTATAAGGAGCAGATGTGAATTGTAATCCCACTGGTAAATAGGGATACAAATTTTGAAAAACATATAAAATGACTTAAAGAACAAGGCACCTTTCTGAAGAAAGTAAAATACAGATTATGCAGCTGAGAGGGAATTTCATTCCCTTAAGGATTATTTTGCTACTGAACTGTGATGGAGACTCATGAAATGTCTCGAGAAAATACGATATGCATTATTGTGTGTTGGTGTGTCTGCTATTATTAATGCGACTCTATAATTATTGATCTCAAGTTGTCTGTTAATTTGTCTTGTGCCATTCTAGATCAAGATTTTCTGTGCTGACTAATTTTCATGAGATGGGTTTGAAACTATGGCAAACAAGTTTTTAAAGTTGGGCAGCACAGAGAAAGAGACTTCAATACAGGTGCATATCTAACCGTTTTTCGTAATTTCTTTTTAGACACAAGATTTGTGATATTTCTGAAGTTCTTTTCAGGTGTTTGGCCTTCTTCCTGATTAGATTGAGCATCTAAATGAATTTTGTGGTACAGCAACCATTGCTTTAAACTTTTTCTGTAAGAGCTACTTAGTTTTTAACTCAATTGAAAAATAGCCATTTTGGACGTATGCCATTTTTCCTGATGATCATTTACTGGATGTTAAGAAGGCTGAGCTCCAGACAAAACTTGAGGGTGAGGGGGAAAGTGAATCAGATCAGTAAAAAGACAACTGAGAACTTACTTGAATGCTTTGCTGAGAGTGCCAGTGGATACATCACTTGTCTCGATGTCCAGTTGTTCCGGGTCGAGAGAGGCTAAAAAGTTTTCCTGTGCCAAGTAAAAGAACAGGTCATTAATAAATGAATAAAAAATATGTCAAGCTGCATGGATATACAGGTGAAACTAAATACTGCATGAGGTGTTCCAGGAAAGTCCTGATTGGAATGGAAGAGGAAAGAAAACTTATAAACTTGATCCCGAAAGAACTTGAATACCTTCTGACTGAACCAGGGCCGAACCCAAAATGGTTCATTCTTCGATTTCAAAATATTTGCATATCCCATAAAGCTTAATATTTTTGAGTTACTGTGTACACTATAAAAATAAAAAAAGTAGAAGTTCTTCTCATTCAACTTCAAAAACCATTCTGCAGTCTGATTGTTGAAATTTTGTGTTTGTCGGGTGGAAATGGATGATATAGGTTAAATGGCGAAGCGTGATTCAAAGCGCATGTCTTATCGTTGCTTTGTTGGTTGAAATGAACGATAAACTAAAGGCACCTCTTGAGTATCCGACAGTATGTCGTCTATTCCACCTTAACGTCGGCTATGTCTTATCGTTGCTTTATCGGGTGGAATGGACGACATACTGTCGGATACTCAAGAAGTGCCTTTAGTTTATCGTCCATTCCAACCGACAAAGCAACGATAAGACATAGCCGACCAATCACGCTTCGCCATTCAACCTATGTCAGCATATTTCTTGACACACATTTTTAAAAAATACACCTTGCAGGATATACGATCTGCAAATATCTTGTTGCACCATATGATGGCAAAAAAACTTTAATTTTATTTTAACGATGTATAAAACTTTGTGTTGATCAACTGAACAAGACATGAGTTTTTCGTCAATTCCTCTTGATACGATAATAACTAACAGCTCAGACCACCACAGGTTTGCATAATATTTCTTATTTTCTGCAGCAACTAAAGAAAATAATTGCATACATAAATTAACCCTTTCCGGTCCGCGGCAGTTTTCCACGCCTGCGAGAAGCGAGGTTAAGGTAGCAGCGATGTTGTCAACGAAGACAGTGGTTTCCAAAGAGTCCACCACTTGCTGGAGCAGTCGAATATACCCGACATCAGGCCTGCGCAGAAGTTCAAACTTTTGGGCGACTATATCCGGCATCGGACCTAAACGCGTTATTTTTCACGGCGAATATATCCGACATTGGACCGGAAAGTGTTAAGGAGTTCAAAATGGTGAGTTTTTTTGATGGTTAGAAACGACCGTGATAAAAGATTACTTACAGCATCTGCTCTGCATACAGTATTGGCCATTTGTCTACACAAAGTACGCAGAAACGTCATTTTGTCTACAGAATCATCCGTAATTGCAAAAGAATAGAGTTTCTCTTTCAGTTCTTGGTTATTTCTACACATTAGGGCAAATACTTTACGGCAATCTGAAAACAAAACAGAAAATCGCATTAGTACATTCACATTAGAAGTGTTTTTCACATTTGCCTCATTTGTTGAATCAAAACTTTATAGATAAAATTAAGTTTAGATTGAGAAGATGCTACTTGGAAGAATTTGTTAAATCGATATTAATTGCACTGAAGTTTTGCTGTGAAGACAATAGAGCATAGGGCTACCTTCTTCAGGAGCTTGCTGATTTCAGGTATTGTTCTAGCGCTTGTCTCTTGCTGTTTTAACCGTTTCAGTGTTTCTGTTCTTTGGCTGCTGAGGTCTTAGAGCAGCCTTCAAGTGTTATTCCTTACCAACCAATGTAATTACTTCCGAAATTTTAATAGCTTTGGGGAAAAGGACAGACTTCAGCTATGATGCTGAAACTTCAGAATTATCTTTTGGAGACCAAAATGAATGGGCAAAAGCCCAGGGAGCAAGGTTTTGAGATGGTTGCCTCAAAATGGAACACCCCAATAGAGATGCACCTGTGGCTGGATACTTCTTCCGATGTCTACAAAAAAAAAAAAAAAAAAAAAAAGACTATTTTTCATGCTAGATCATCCATTTTTCCATGAAACAGAAAACCAATTACAATACAATTCGACCGGAAAACATTTCAGTGGTCATACTGGGGAAGGTAGAGAGACTTACCATCAGTTTCATTGATGTCAATAACGCGTTTTAGAGTTGATAGATGCATTAGCTTTACATGTTTGAACATTTTCCCACTATTCATTTTGACACCAGCTTCTTTGGGACTCTTGAGCGTATTAAAAGCTTTAGATCGTTTTTTACAAACCTGAGAAAAGAATAAAAATCTTGATGAATTTGTTTCATTCTCAGCAAAATAGGTCATTGCATATTGTAAAATCTTTAATTGCACAATTCCTTCAATAAGGACAGCCAGATATCGATGTATTTTAAGTTCTTTAAGTACTGTGGAAAAGCGCTCCAAATTGATCAAAATTGCCGAGACGATGCTGAAACCTCTCCATAGGTAGGACTTTTTGAGTCCTTTCTTAGGCATACAATTAGTACATGCACCGTTTTGGAGATACTGGGGCTCAAAATTTCCTAAAATTACAGTAGAAGTATGGTTAAAAATGGCAACTTTGCTCTACTGTATCTTCAAAATGGTTCTGGTACTCATTGTAAAATTTTTTCTTTGGCCTAATCTTATCATTGGCTTTCGTTTAAGCTCAATATCAAGGACATCCATCATAACCCAAAGAGAAGCTGCATTTGAGGAGGCTCTTAAAAACGCATAGCTGCCCTCCCATAATGTCTTTCTGACATCTCTTTCCCTTTGAATTAGATTTTATTTACATAGGAAACTTTTCAGGCCACTGATTTTGGTCAGGTTGAAATGTTTTTTTTTGAGTAATTTGAAAAACTTCAAACTTAAACGTCGCAAAGTTTTTAAAATCAACCTAAAAGATGTACAACTAAAGAACTCTGTAAATGCTAACTTTAAATATTGTCACTGGGAGAGCAAAGCAGTTGGACGAAGGCGATAATTTGTAAATTTGTATTAAAATTAACATTCTGATAGATTATTAAAAAAGTTAAGGAAAAAAACACTCACTTCAACTATGTCTGAGAAAAGGAAAAACGCTAAAGAATCTCCTCGGCCACTCAACGAGTCGCTCAGTTCTACAACATCGCACCGGGAGATAAAACTTCGGTGAGAAGAAACTAGATGGGGCTGTTAACAGAGACAAAACATGATCACTTGATTTAATAGCATAAGTTTTGAAAGCAGAATAGAAGTATTCAACACAGTTTATTTATAGCTTTTAAGGCTGTGCGAATAGTGAATTTTCCAAACGAAGCGAATAGCAAATAATTTCGGCAACTATTCGCGAATAGCGAATAATTTAAGTCAATTATTCACAGCTACGAATAGTAAAACGAATAATTTTAAATTACTTATTTAAGTGTGAAAATTTGCAAAAATTACAGAAGGTACTCTTGGAGCAACCAAGATATGCAGGCCGGTCGCAATTGCGCTCGCTGTTCGTAAATTTGGCAAAGTCGGTTAAGATCAAAGGAGATCCGCTATTCGCGATGTCTCGGATGGAAGCGGAAGCCTTCCGCGGGTCCTCATAACGTTTCACGATTGCCACTCGGAAATTCGTTGTTTTTGATGGCGCGAATATTTGAAATATCGTTCCTCCGGACGGCGCGAATATTTGAAAATGTAAGTTCAAAAATTCACTATTCGCGACGGCGCGATTATTCGCAATTTGCGAATAGTGCATGAGGCAGACGAAGCGAATATTCGGCGAATATTCGCGGCGCGAATAGTCGGAACTGCGAATATTCGTACAGCCCTAATAGCTTTCCTTAATTTCATCCTAAGCAGTGAAAAAGTGGCTAAGTATCCAGGACTTGAGACCATTTAGGAATTGTGTATTTGTTGTGGAACAAGTTTTCATCTACATGAATGGAAAGCACACTTGAGCTGAGTGACAAGTGTATTACTTTGATTTCAAAATTCCCTGCCTTTTTCACAATTTTTCAGGATTTTTGAGCATAAGACTCCCTGACTTCCATGACTAATCAATGTATTTTTTGACTTTACTTCTTACCAACAATGCTTTAGACAGCAAATTTTTGCGCAAAGTCTCTTGCAATTTTTCAGGAACCTGAGAACATAAGTTCTCATTTTCTTTGCAAAAGCGTAAGTATACGGAAGAAAATAATTAGGTAATTTTTTCTGCTAGAAGAGCGAATTTCTGGGTTCTACAGTGAACTTCCCTGACTTTTCAGGGTCGGGAAAATTCTCCAGATTCTTCCAGGTTTTCAATCACTTTTCCAGAAGTTGTCACTGTGATTAAGACAGTAACCTTGCTTAGACTAGAATTTCAGCAAAGACAGGTTGTTTTAGAGAAAATGATTTTGTTTCTAAAAGGTAAACAAAATAAAAAATTCGATAGCATCTTACCGGGCAATTTTCGATATCGTTGAAAATATCAAAAACAGCAAGCTGAGACTCAGTGCGCCTTTTGTCTTCATTGATATGTGTCATTACTTCTCTAATACTAGCTAAGGCAGCCTCTAAGGCACAATGATCCGGATTAGATTTTGAGGTATGCTTTAGAATATCTGAAAAAAAGAACACATACATGTAAAAAACGATTACGGAATGTTAAAGGTGGAACAATTTTGAACATTCATGATATGATATGTGAGCCAATTTGTGATGACAGCTCTAGGGTTGACACCCTATTACAGGAGATGGATATTTTGCATTTGCAAGAATGAGTAATAGTTACTTCGATGAGGTAAATTTTTTGGAAAATTTTTGAAAAGTAAAAATTTACAGTAACAATGGGAATTATAATGCTTGAAAGAGACAAATTAAATTTGTCTAGATGAAACCTCTTTTATGCGCTACACAGAAAAAATTAAATTGCTGATTTAACAATTCAATTGCTAAACAAAGTGACTGCAACGTTTCGACGTAGATTTTACGACAAAAAAATGCTACTTTGACCACTATTGTAAGCCAATTTAACCATGGGGGTGGTTCAAGTAGCATTTTTGTGTTGTAAAATCTACATTGAAATATTGCAGTCACTTTTTTTAGCGATTGAATTGTTAAACCAGCAATTTAATTTTTTCTGTGTACTTTTGCAAGTATCTGTGATTCAGGTTTTCTTACAGTTGTAAACTTAAAACACTTGCTCTTTCCATTCCTGCTTTAGGAAGTGTTAATTGTTTGATAATTTTTTTTCTCTATTCACAGCTTTGTCAGGAGTTCAGAACTGAATTTTCTTTCTGAATTGTATACTGTGCTTTATGTTTTTGATCCTTCAGATTTTACATGTGAGGATGAATGTGCTTGTAAGGAAATACTAGACAAATAAATCTCACCTGTCAAAAGTAAACTAATACTGGGTAATCGTTGGACAGGACGGATTAATAGTTCCACTAAAGTTTGGCGACCGCATTCAGGCTTTGTTTGACATACTTTCAGAAATGCATGGAACCTTGGTTTCGTTTGATCACATTTCAATAGCATTTCTCTCATGTTCTCAAAGTAGTTGATGAAAGGAGGATACGCCTTCATTAATTCTGAGGACTGAAAAAAAGAACGTTATAAACTCCAATACTCATAACGCGTGAAGAAAAATATGATAAGTAAACTTCCTTCATTTTTCTGCCAATTTTTTTTAGTTTTGTAACGAAGAAAATGAAGGGGGAAAAAAGAGATGAGTGATAGATTCGCTTATTTTTGCTACATTTCCACTCAGCCATCAGTTTATCAATTTAAACCAATGTAATTTTTTCCAGAGGTTTGATCACATTGAGGATTCGCTAAAAATCCGAGTGTCTACAGAAACCTAGGAACAAAAATATGGCACATTTATAAGCCTTTAACTGACAATTTTTTGGAAAAAAGTATGACTGCAAGGTTAACAAAAAAGCTTTTAGTCCCCACTAAAAAAGTAGCTGGCGGGGAAAAACACTCTACCATTACAGCAATGCTGATTGAAGGTAATGATTACAAGTAAAAATTATAAACTAATATACATAACAGTCAATTTTTATTAGCAAGATTAGATTAGATGATTTTAAAAGCGATAAAATTTCGACTTTTCCCTACTTTGAAAAGAAAAAAAATGAGAATTTTGAACCCAAAAGTAGAGAAAGAGGAAAAATAAAATAAAAAAATATGGCAATTTCGTATGACTTTCACAAATTTATGTGACCGAAATGAAAATATGGCAATATTATATGACTTCATGAGATCCCATGACCTGTAGACACCCTGAAAATAAATCAAATTGGTTCAAATCTTAGATAACATATTATTTTTAATAATTTTTATGGATAGAACCAATTGCCACCTAGTGCCACTTGTTTTCCTGTCATGAACAAAATAAGCGGCGCCCTAAGGAGACTAGCATTGAGATCGCTCTTCCTAAGTAAGAGATTGAGATGTATGGGTAACCTGGTGCTTATACTTGAGGATACGCTTGTCAATCTCAAACGACTGGCTAAATAGCATGTGAATATAAAAAAATAAATTTACACAAATTTTCAATGAGGTCTAGTATCCTTGGTTTTTAAATTGAACAATTATTGGAGAGGTAACAACATAATGATTTAATTTACTAAAGTACAAGTCTTTCAACTGGAAATGTCACCTAATGATTTTACAAGGCTGTAAATTTTCTCACTTTTTTCTCCATCCTCCATAACAGGAAAAAAAATTGAAATACACTTTGAGCTCAGCTCATCAAGCTCTCCCCAAAATAGAAGTAAATTTTTTTCATGAAAAGTCTCTGATGATTGTATAATTTATCTTTCACCATATCTCATGGCCATTGCTACACGGAAAAAATGAAATCGCTGATTTAACAATTTTGTAGTTAAAAAGAAATCCCAGACATGTTTCAATGTAGATTTTACAATTAAAAAATGCTAATTTAACCACGCCCATGATTAAAATAGCTTTCTACTATTGTAAAATGTACATTTGAAACACATTTGTCACTTTTTTTTAAAAGTCCCTTGACTTGTTAAATCAGGAATCTATTTTTTTACTGAGAGCTAGTTTTAACTTTATGAATTTATTTCATCTTATCTGTGTGCACTATCATTTCTCTCAAAATTAAATGCTAGAATTTGTTTTCTCCCAATCGGAGGCACCTCAGTTACAAAATTGTTTCCGGTTAGATTTTATCAGAAAGCAGGTGAATGGAGAAACTTACATATTTTAAGAATACATTGCCAACACTGCTCTCTTCCTTCCAACAGCTTGCAAGCTGTCTAAGTTCTTCTAACATCACGGTATGAGTGTGATGAATTGGAGGTAGATGACCAAATATTATTTTCAATTCAGTTTGATTCAATAATTCATTTTCTGAATCAGCTAGCGTTTCTAGAGGACTCTTGAACAACTGGAAACAAAAGAAGCACATAAATTTTATTACTAAGATAAAAAAACTAAGATACCTGAATCAAATAGAGGCATTTCCTTTTTCTCCAGAAATTCATGCATTAGATACTGAGACCAACCCCCTGTATCTTCTCTACTAGAATACCTCCCAGATGCATTATTCAATGGTTCCAAATGCATCTTTGATTTTTTTTTCATACTTTTGGTTAAATTCAAAGGTGGAGCATTCCATACTTTAGCATTCAATGAGCTTGTTCAGCAATTCGTAATTCTTGCATTTTTNAAAATGGGCGCCATTTTGAGATGGGCCAAGCGGCGCGCGTTTAAATGGGAGCCCAAAATACGGACTTTTGGACTCGTATTTCGTGGGTTAATATTGCTCAAAAAAATCGGGGAAAATTCCTGTGAACTCTGTGCACTCTCTAGTTTCCAAAAATGCAAGAATTACGAATTGCTGAACAAGCTCATTATTTCCTGAGAGCTTCAGGTAAGTCCTACATACTTAATCGCCTCCTTTTTCATTGATTACAGGGTTGCCACAGACTTTAAAAAATTGATTCCCTGAAAATTGAGGATATGGCAGATGGTTCAAAAGACAGAATTTGAAATAGTTATCAGACAAGATTTGTTGTTTGAAACTTTAAACCCATTCAGCAGCCTGATTGTTGAAATTTTTTGTTTGTCGGGACAACGTAGATGACATAGGTTAAAAGGCGGAGCGTGATTGGCTGGCTATGTCTTATCGCTGCTTTGTCGTGCGTATGTCGGGTTGAACTCACGACAAGCTAACGGCACCTCCTAAGTTTCCGACAGTATGTTGTCTATTCCACCTGACAAAGGCACGACAAAGCAGCGATAAGACATAGCCGACCAATCTCGCTCCGCCTTTTAACCTATGTCGTCTATGTCGTCCCGACAAACAGAAAATTTCAACAATCAGGCTGCTGGGAAGCAAATAAGGGTGACTTAACAGTTTTAACTTGACATTTCCAGGTTTTCCCTGACTTTTTAAACTTTCCTAAACATTACCTGGTATTTCCTAACTGTGGCAACCTTGCATTTAAGACTATCCCTGGTCTTTTTCTGCTTTTGATAGGGAAGTTCATAAAATTAAAGGGGTATTGTCCCTGCATGAATAATAGACCCATTTCATATTCTAAATTTTGAGTAGACGAGTAAGAAGGATACGTACTGTCATTATGGTGTTCAATATGTTGACATAGTTTGATTCAGTTTGTACTAATTCTAAGAATACTTGATGTCGGGCACTTAGATTCTTCCTTGGTGTTTCACTGCTTTCTACTTCTAAAAAAAGAGAAAATTAGGAATTTGAACAGTTGCGCATAAAAAATCAATAAAAAATTGAAAGACAAAAAACAAACTTCAGATATTTCTATCAATTAGGAGGAAATTGGCTCTTGGGTACAAAAGACCACAGATTTATTTTTCACGATCTAATACAGAAATAATCAAATACACATTTATAGAATTTGATTCACAGTTTTGCTAATGGGTCTGTTCCATGCAAGAGACACAGCCAATAGAGTAGACTTTCTTCAGATAGAATCACGCAAAAATAATGGAGGGCACATAAAATTTCTAAAATCTTAGCACACAATCTACGTATTTTGTGACACACCTATTCAAATTTTCCATTTCTGCAGCTAGTTTTCCTTAGTCACTAGCCACAAAAGGCCAGGTTTGCCGAGAAAGGAACGTGAGAAAACATAAACCAACAACAAGCAATCTTGCAAACTTTTTCTGATGAATGATTTTAATCGTTTTCAAGCGTTAGCTTCCTCCTTATTTCTTTGATTTGCAAAACAACGGCTTTGAATCAATTAAAACCACACCTGAAGATGGTTCATAACAGTTTGAGAGATTTTTTGTTTTTAGTGTCTCTTCCTGGGTAAACATGATTGCAAGCTGCTAAAAAACACTGCCTACAGACAGGGAAATTTGAAAAAGCGTGTCACAAACTATGCAGTGAGGAGTGGATTTCAAACTTCTTTGATACGTCTATCATGATTCTTGTGCAATTTTCTCCGCAGACAGTATATTCAATTGGCTAATCTCTTACAAGCATCAAGTCCAATTTTACGAATACAGGCAAAAATAGATGGGAATAATTTTCTCTTGTAATACTGATCAGTGTAAATTTTCAAGCTTTGCTTCATCTTTTTTTGTAAAATATTAACGAGAGATCAAGAAATCTAATTGGGGTGAGAATTTTAAAGAACTAACTTGACATTAGGATAAGCTAATCCATAAGTTATTCGTGTTTGAATCCTGCGAGTTGTTATCAATTTATAGTTTTGGATTCATTTTTGAAAGGGGGCCAAAACTTAGTTTCTAGCATTTCTAGTTTTGAAACTGAAGCACCAGTCTATGTACTGTTGAGACGACCTATAAGTAATACCACTCCTTAAAAATGCTTGGTCCTGGGGGCTGTACTTCAAAAACAATTCAAAAGAAAAAGCTGAAAGATATAGAACCTACCATCATGAAGATGAGAATCTGGACTAGCTGTGTAATCAAGAAGAGAACCACAAGATAACCGTCCGCTTATCGAGGAACGCCGTTTATATTGCGTGGGCGACAACGCATCTTTGGTCTGCACCAGACAATCTCTAAGCCTCTTCCTTTTACGAGCTCCTCTTTTGCTGCTCGAGCCTGTGTTCAATCCACTCATGTTTGGTGTTGCACATGGAGACGTGAGGTTTTCTAAATGCTGTGCCAAAAAATAGGACACTTAATCATAAAATTTATCGAGACTACAAATTTCAAGCATCTGATGAAAAACTAAGATGTCTGTTCTTCCTGGAATACTTATTTATTATTCGGACTTTATTTTGCAATTAGGAACATTGATTTCTGGCTCATCCATAGAGACACTTATGAACTTACACCGCAATCACACGCTGAATGTGGGAGCTGAATGTGGCTTGAATGTGGAAGTCATCGGCCCGATGCCTGAATTTTGCGCAGGACGCGCAAAATTCAGCAACGATTCTCAGCAACCATCGGACCAATTTTGAATTTGTCTGAACAATTCGAGTAGATTTAATACACATCTGGATGAAAATAACTCGAATTTGCTAAATTTCAGCCGTTGGGCGATGACTGTTGACTTCCACATTCAGCTGCTAAATTCAGCGTCTGATTGCGGCAACAGGGAAACAAATGGCACATGCGTTGTTTCTAAATTGAGCCAGAAGTTGTAGTTCTTTATTACAAAGTAAAGTCTTTTTAAAGGCAATTGAATATAATTAAATTTGATTGATTGGTTTTTAATACTCTTTTGATTTGTAAGATTTTTTGTGAATTCCAAGAAATTTGAAATCCTGATATATTAACAGCTTTTTGGATGGTAATGAGACCACAGACAATTTAGACTTAGGCAACTTTTTGTCAGTGAGAACGAATTCGAGAGTTATTCCAATTTTTGCCGATTCAACCCTTCGGTGAAAAAAAAATCCTTCTGCATTTTTAAATACTTTTTTACTTGAAATTCTTCCTCAATGGAGAAACTAAGCAATGAAAGTATGAAATGTGTGACAAAAAATTACTTACATCCTCCAAAAGGTATTCCTTTTCATCCACGCACCCTTCGTTTTGAACGGACGCCCAAAACCATTCAGCTTTGACAATGTGTACACGGAATGAAGCTGCAGGAGGTAAACAATCCATTCTTGATTCATCAACAACCTAAAAAATATAGGAAAATTATGAATCTTTGTTCTAGATTATTTGGTCCTTGTGTTTCTTTGAAAAAATCAAAGTCCATTTTTTATTATTTTTCAGCCTCTTTCTGTTAGTTTTGGTCTCATTCCATAGTTGAATAATGCTGGTAGAGGAAGAGAGAAACTTCTGGTGGGACAGTCTTGCAATTATTGAGCCTTTTAAAGCGCACTATCAATGGAATAATTCATGAGTGCATAGAGAGGAAATCAAAATAAAATTAAAAATGGTTCAAGATGAATTCAATTTTGTACATAATTTTTAAGCATTATCCTTAAAAATTTCCGGAATGAGACTGGAAGAACGTATGTTGGACAAAGTCAACTCTGCATGAATAATGTATATTTCTTATATTAGGAGAAAAGAAAAACTCTCTTATTTTGAAATTGATTATGGCGTTGATAAGCTTAAATATCATCGGTACTTCTTAAGGATAATATCGCAGATTCCGAGGGGAGAAAATTGCACAAAATATAAAATTGAGAGGGATTTTTTGAATTCTTGGGCTAGAGAAAACAGGGCAGTCTTGTAAAGTATCCTGCATAGAAAACCAAGGCATTGTGGGCTGACTAAATATCGTTATCATTTGATTCGATGTTCTCGGCTACTTTGTAAGCATGATGAACTTTTAAAATCAAACTTTTTATGTGCCAATTTACAGAAAACCAAAGCTGAAAAGTGAATTTTCCAGCATTTTTATCAAAATCAGCTAAAAGAAATTTTGATGAGGAAGGAAAGAGGAACTTTTGTACCGATGGAAGGGAGGAGCCAGACTGCTTCAGAAGAAAAAGCACCGTACATGCAACACAGCAGTAGTCTCTTTCCGCTAGAATAAATCACGTTAAAATTGCTAATATATTCACTTTACAGCTATACTAATCTTGCAGGTGCTCGTAAAAAATTCAATTTTAAAAGTTGACTGTGCTTAGAGAGTGACAGAGAACATTTTATCAAATAATATTGAGATATAGCAAGCACCGAATCTCTTTGGCTTCCGGACGGGGTTCTTTTAATTAAGAGCGAGAGTAGATTAAGTCAGCTATGGTACCGTCTTGAATAAGCTGGCTACTTGAAATGCATGTAAATGAATTGTTTTATTCTTTTGGTGAAAATCAGGACATAAGTTGTGCTGCAGTTTTATGAAGAAGCAACATTTTTTCCAAGTGCAAAAAATTGATGCTTTTATGAGTATTTACAAAGTGAAAAGGAAAAAAAAAACGGTAAAATCTTTAGAAAAACTGAGCACTGAGTACAGTTTTGACATGGAAGCTTGTTAAACTGAGAATTGCAGATTTAAAACCAGCGATTCTCAACCTGTGGGCTGCAGACCCCTGGGAGGGGGGAGCGGAGGGCATGTAGAAGGCCTCGAAGTGATGGTAGAATATAATGAAAAATGGCAGAAAAAAGAAGAATTTGCAATGCAGCAGGCGAGCATGACAACGTGGAAAGAAACATGCATCTTTTCAGTAACTCACTCGAAACTTCTGCTTATCACTTCTGGGTTTATTTTTAAAAGTAATCTAGAATGTACAAGTCAAGTTTCCAAAAGTAAGCCAGTTGACGAAAATCTATTATGTAATTACATACAATTTATTTTCAATGACAACATTAAATGTCTCAGGAGGAAAAAGTGGTAATTCATTTCAAGAGGGCCCCAGAACTTTTTGGGTAGGACCTAAGGGGTCCACAAGCTGAAAAAGTTGAGAGCCGCTGTTCTAAACTGCCATGATAAGAAAAAATGCCTGTGTTATCTTACAGCCCTTTCCAAATTTCTTCCCATACAATTGAAATTCTCTGGTACACCTATGACTTTTACTCTCTAAGTAATGACGGGAATTTTATTTGTTTCTTTCTCTACAAAACCTAGGAGTTTGGAGAGAAAATATTCAGGACTTTCTTGAATCTTCATGCCCCGTTTCTATTCACTATCGGTATGACAGCACAGTGTATTTCCATGGAATTTATAAAAATTCAAAGGTTTACTCTGGTTGGAGCTTAGAGGAGTCATACTGTACGGCAAAAAAAGGAAAGAAAATCAAGACATCCTCCTTTAATTTATTCTTTGGGGTACTAGAGTATTTGTCGAGAACGTAAATTTGTATTTCCTGGCCAAATTTGCTAAAATCTTTCCTGAAATATTTGCTTCTCAGCACTACGCCCCCTTGCAATGTGCTTCCAGGCAGCTTCCCATGTGCTTAAAATAATGAGAGAAAGTTCCCCATAAAGAGCAAGTAATGCAGGTTATATTACAATATTTACAATAAGAAAAGAGAGAGAAAAAAATGGACATATACCAAAGAGCGTTGAGCAGATACTGAGCTTGAAGCCGATGGTGGAGACAATACAGGGGAGGTGACTGGAGGAAGAGGAGTTTTAAACTTAGGAGGGGGCGGTGTAGAGGTCTCAGGAGGAGAATCGATGATAGAGGACAGTTCAGGAACAAAGAAATCGGGCTTTTTTCGGGTTGCAGGAGAGTCAAAGTTGAGGCCTCGTTTACAATGGAGAAAACTTGTGTTTTTGAAAGATCGGTTTGATATTTTGAGCTTCCTCGTTTCAGTGGAAACCATAGATTTTGGTGGAGTACCTTCTATTTTCATGTCCTCGACAGGTGAATAATTTCTATCAAAAATGCAATTAGAGCTCAGAGAGTAGATATTTTTGTTGTCGGAGGACTTGAATCGTTTGCAACTGCCAGTTGTGACCAAGCTATTTTTCCTTGGGCGTTTGAGGCTTGAATTGGCGTCATCTACAGTGTCGTAGGACAAATCACTCTGTTCTGTAGCATTCGAAGTTTGAGGGACACGACTGGAGGCGCTGTAGTCAATGGATAGGGGCGTCGAGAATGAATGACTGTCATTTAGTATTGATGAGATATTACTAGCCGGAGCGGTCAGAATGCTATAACTAGCAGGGGTAGATGCTTTTTTCCTTGACGGACTGAAATGAATTTTAGGGCTGGCTGGAGTCAGAGTCAAGTTTTGCTTAGGTGCGTTTGGAAAAGTAAGCTGGGAGGATCGAGTGGGGTAGCGGTGGATAGAATTGGGAGAGTACGGGACCACCACCTTTGTTCTCAATAGTTCAAATGTTTCCTCAGAATCAAAGACCTGGACGAATGCATAAAAAGAAAAATTATAGAGTGCTAAGAGATGCAAGCAACAAAATATCCATAAGCTCTTCTTTATGTGTCTACTATTCCGATAGGAATAATACATCTTACACAAAATCTTTTTCCGCAAAATTTTTTTTTCTTTATGAGTTTAAGTAGCCTTAGATAATGCTTTATATCCTCAAAAAACAAAGATCGGGGGACAGTGTTAGTTAATGGCTGTTGTCCAAATAAAACTCATGATAATGATCCGTAAATTTTTAAACAAAGGTATGGATGAATTTTGGGTTTTTCCTGAGAAAATTTTACAAAATTATCACACAAAAAGTCAGATGTTGCTCATGAACATGGGCCTATCGAAACAAAATTTGCAGTTTCTAGACTTAATGATTTCCCAAAGACTTTATTTTCCTCTCATTAAAACTTTATTTCAAGACACTTTTAATGATAAACTTTCAAATTCCTTTTGCAGGAGTACTAGACACATCAAGAAAATATTATCAAGATATTGCAAAGCAGGGTAGATTGGTATCCAAAAAAATCGGGCAAAAGTTTTCCGATGATGGAAAATCTTCATTGTTACGACCAGAAGTTGTCTCAGAAACAAAGAGTACACTGTAGATTGAGTCGTAATAAATTTGAGGGAGCTGTCCCCGTTTTTGAGTCACTAATAATAAAACCTACTTACGATTTCTGTACAACACAGAATACGTCAATCAATTACTTCAGATAACTCCTGAATGATTACCATTGTGAAGGATGACAGGTTGCTTGAAATTTTAAAAATACTTGACTTTTCAAAATTTTGAAAAAAAAAATCCCTGATTTCTTAAAGATGATGGGTATGGAAATTTATTTTATGCAACATATGCGAGCGCAAATTTTGAGTTCTGCCGATAGAGCATATGAGCCATGCAAAAGTTTTGACACGATATGAAGGTTCAAAGACTGAGAATAAAATTCCCTATCATTTCCTCTCTGCTTGGTTGTATGTACTTCGATTTTGTATAAAATAAAAATAGTCCGAAACTAGCATCTCTAGAGTTCCTAGATCAAGACATAACAGCTGTTCTAAAATATCTTTTACGACTCTACTACGTACTCAAGATTCTGAGACTAACTTACTGTCAACGCCCAATCACTTTTTTTATTTCTAAATGTTAATCTAGTGCAATGTAATGTACAGATTCTCCCGTCAGCCAATACGATAATGAAAGAATTCAAGTTTGTTTTCCACATTTCAGACTCTCAAAATTGAACACCTACGGTAAAACGAATAATTTCATCTGAATCGTTTAAACTTGATGAAAAACAAAGGTGATGAAGGAATCTACGGATGGAATGTTGCAGGACTGAAGACAGAAGTACAAGAGATACAGATCTGGATCTGTGCTGTGATGGTTCATTCAATGAGCAGAGAATCGCAAATTTTGATCTTAAAATAATTTTTTGTGAGTTGATCATACACCATAAATTGGATCACATTTTGCAATAAGGAACCACTATTTCTGGCTCATGTTAGAAAGAGCATATGAGCCATTGGTTTCCCTATGCAGGAAGGTGCTTTTGTGGATGAGCTGGAGATAGTGGTTCCTTATTGCAAAATGTAATCCAATTGTAACTTTACTTCTAGTAAATTAAGTAAACTTCATGAGTGGGAAGGAGGTATAAAAAAGCTAGATGTATGATACCACATAAATGCTACTTGCGTTAGTTGCAGAAAAGTTTTTACTTTTAAAACTTTTGCAAGAAAAGGACAGCCAAACATTTTTCTGACTTAGTTATAGGAGAAAAGTTAGGATTAGGAGAAAACCCTTTAAAAATGAAGACAATCTGAAGAAAGTCACCAAAAATTTCTGATTAGACTTAAAATNGGGGGGGGGGGGGATGACAAGATTTTCAGATAGCTTTTACTTTTTCCAAACAAGACCCAGTAACCACAACAAAGTATCTTGAGATATTTTATTTTTTGCATTCCTCTATGCCCGCAACTAGCTGACACATTTAAGAAGAAAACAAACTTAAATTCAACGCACCGACTGACTGACAAGTTAATTTTGCTACTATTATGAGACATCTGCTGATGATTTTTAACTACCGAAGTGTTTCTTAGTGGATTTTAAGCTCAAAGAGACACATATTAGTCACTAAAACCCAAGTTAAAGCTATATGTACAATATGAAAAAACTAAATTAAATTGTTAAAATTCTCAGAAGATCTCAAATCGCTGAAGATAGGGTATCGAAAATATTCTTCTGAGATTGATAAGTTGCAAGTAGAAATAGTTCTAAATGTTGCATAAAGTAATGAATGATATTAAGTGTTAATGTGAATGAAAAGTTAGAGTGGTGAGTATATGTACATAGGAAAAATGAAAGTATGTAATTTTGCGAGACATTGTTCTTTTTATGAGCTGATGTAAAATTGCATGCTTAAATTTAAAAAAAATTAAAAAAATTCTGATTTGCTTACAGGACATGATTTTTGGTTAAAATTGATCAGCTATTGCGTTAACATAACTTTCACTAACCTTGGAAAGGAAGTGGAAAAATATCCATTGATTTAATTGATAATTGCATGTTTTTCAGACGATTACCGTGCACATTCTTGTGAAAAATGGGATATTTCTTTTTGTATTTTCCTGAATCGCTTCAGAAAGTTGTGGATATGAAAGTGACATATTAAAGAGCAGTTTTAAACGAGAGAATTCAGTGCAACTGAATTGTGCAGAATTTCTAATTTAGGGTATAGTGTGAGTGGAAGTAAAATTACCCAAAGCATAAAGTTGGAAAAATACTTACAATGTGAGTGCAGTTAGAATCATTCAAATCAGTGGGTTCACCACCGTTTTGTTCCAAAATTTCGATCATATGATTTTTCTCTTCCTCAGGAAATCCAACAAAACAAATCCTAGCACCAGAGAAAACTTGCAATTTGTGTTCATTCACCTGAAACATAAAGATAAGTCAACACTCATGAGAAAAAGGAATTTCTCTTCATCAGCGCTATATCAGTCGGTAAACAATCTTTTTTTCTTGTAACTGTTAATGATTTCATATTAGTAACAGGGGCAATTTCCCAAGTTTTTCGAGTTGTGAATGAACTTTTGCCCAAGTTGAGCAAATGCTAATTATAATTTAACATTACCAAAACAAGAATTTCCCTATGAGGAAAAAGAAAGAGAGAAAGAAAGGTTGATTCTAATGACCATTTAAATGTAAATCCAAAGGCTGGCTTATTACACTTAGGTTTCTTTTTTTATTAAAACGTCGGATAAAAAAATAATTTTTGAGTACTCACTATTTCAGGAGCAGTTGCAGAAAAAAACGGAGTATGCCTATTACTCCAAGCGAAATGAACCCAACTTTCATTCATGATAGCAACACGAAATGTGAGTGCGTACTGATACTTTTCACCACCACAACAATGGGCTATTAGATGAGTCACACGAGAAACCATCTCTCTACGTATATGCCCTCCCATGTTATGCACAAGTGCCATCAGTTTAGCCTGGAACGAGAACATCATAAAGAATTATGACACATACTCCACAAAAACAATGTCTGACAGTAAGATAGATCATTCGAAAGTTGAGTAAAATAAAAAGTCCCATAAAACCTATTACTTACTTTACAGATTCCCCATTCTTTCTTGTAGCTTGAAGTTCAAAATCGGCAGACTTCTTTTCATTGGAAGGAATTGGGGAATTTTAGGAAGAAATTCAATGGAAATTGATGTAAGCAGCTATGAGGATAAGATTCTTGACCACAGCGAGGGGCAGATGTTCTGGAATTTTCTACACCGCTGGAATGTCATTACGTGTGCATTCAATCTGTAGAGCACAGTTTGAAATGGTATTCTGCAGACCAGAATATTTTTGGGCTCAAAAGATTGAGTGCATGCCAAATGACACAGTTTTCCCCCATTTTTCTCTAAACTTGGATTTTGGCGCATGGGCCTTTTAGCCCAAAAAATATTGATTCAATTCTTTTACGCATCCTCTAAATTATGACTCATTCATCAGAATATGATGAAAGAAGAAACATTTGCTAGAATTAGAATTATTAATAAGGCTTTACAAGACGAAAGTAGAATAGGTATAGAATTAAACAAAATATATGAAATGAAATGTTTGAGATGCTCACCAAAGTGCTTTTTTCTCTGAAACCAGTAAAACAAACAACTAGACCATCCATTGCGTGACTGTAGAGAGGTCTCTTAATAGATGGAATTGGTACTTTTTTCTCCGCAAGCTCCAAAAGAGCAGTAGGTCCGAAAATACTGAAAGAAAAAAATGTTATAGTTAGAAGTGACCAATTAGTACCTACAATTTTTTTTTCTTGTCTTTTTTTTTAACTTTTGGAGATCTCAAAAGGAGGGACTGGGGAAGGTATAAAAATTGAAATGAAAAATGTGTACATTCCATGACAATCAAGCACCAATAAAATTAAGCTGTTTTCAAGAAAAGTTGTTGAACAACTTCAATGCAAGATACACTGTGAAAATGAACTTCCATGAGTAACATTAAAGCAGTTTTAAGGATGTAAATTAGGTTGCACCATTGCTGAGTCCCAAGTTGAGATGAGCTCTTGCACCTTTCTTAGATTTTAGAGCTTGTAACTTATGGAGCACATGTACATATACAATTGCTACTGCATAAAAGTCTTTATTACATTAAGCTCTTAATTAGAGTATTTTCTGAAGTATACAAAATACCAATGAGAAATCCCTGGTTCAACCTGGAATGGGTTGGCATGCAAAATTTACAGTCAAGAAAATAGATTTACCATTGGTAAAATCGCACGAAAATCACATAGGGCACTTCAAAAAAGTCAGCAATCTACTCTGTGCGCTCTGTGTACTTTGTAACAGGCTTTTCCAAGTTTCTCGTATCAACGGGCAATTTTTCTCAGTTGCTGGCGATGAAGTTTACACAGATACAGGAGTAGGAAAACCTAACTAGAATGAACACACACTTATGCAAACTTCTCCTGGTATTGATTTCAATCGTTTTCAAGTGTTTGTTTCAATTCTTTTTTTTAATTGGTTGGCAAAAATAAAAGCTTTAAATCAATTGGAATCTTAAATAAGGAGATTTTTAACAGTTTGTGAGATTTTTTTCATCATCTAGGTCAGATTTCTTGAGTCTCTTGCTAGACAAACATGACTGCCAGCCACTAAAAACACTGCCCACAGACGCAGTAAAGTTGAAGAAGCCTACTATAAACTACGCAGATTGAGCACTAAGAAGTGGATTTCAGACTTTTTGATAAGTCCAGTGTGATTTTTATGCAATCCCACCAGTGTAGAGCCTATTCACTTGATTATATCTTTTGCCTGCTACAAACGCATGATTTGTGCAACGTTACTTTTAAACATCATTTATCCTGGTAATACTTGAATGATTTTTTAAAATGACTGAAAATAAATTACAGCAGACAATCCATTCTTAAAATTACACTTGCATGGACAGTAAAGAAAAACAGAGAGCAAAAAGTAGATCCAAAAGGGCATATTAATTGATCTATTTACCTATGTCCCAGCTTTGAAATTTTCTCGCAATCTCGAAATTCAGGTAAAACAAACACAGTGGGACTGTCATATTTCTGCCAGTCAGCATCCGAGGTTTCAAAAACAACTGGCAAACCAAAACTCTGAGGAAAAGATTAAGGAATAGAATTCAGAGGATAATTATACAAAAAATAAAAAACAGTTTTCTGAGCTGCTAATTAACGCTTTTGTCACTGATAATGTGAGGAATGCCTTCAAAAGTAATTTAATGAAAATGACAAAACCTCTCCTCCTCTTGATAAATAACAAAACACTTGGGGTAGGGCTAAATTGAAAGAAGCAAAATGATGGTTTTAAGATAAACTTATGATTGATCACTTAACTACAGGCTGAAAATACCTTACTTTCATTCATTAAAAATGCTAAGCCAGTCATAATGAGTTTGGCGATACGTTGTTCTACTTATGATATCATGGTGACATCAGAAACTATTGGCAGTTCTGCCAAATTTGCCACTAACAGTAAATTTAACAAGCGAGAAATACCGCCTTCCTTGACACGGCCAGATTTCAAAATTCGGGTCTGGTAGGACAGGTATTTAGCTCACCTTGACTACAAGTATGTTATTGGCTGGAATACGCATTTAAAACATGAAGATGTTACATCTCACTAAAAAGAGGCAAAGGTCGCATTGAAATTTTTAAAATGTGCTCTTCTGTCCAAAACACACTTCAGATTTCACAGAAGTGAAGACTCAAACTTGCCGCTGACAAAGACGCCATAACCAATTTACTTAGATCAAAATAGCAATAAAAATTGAATCAATTCAAGAATTAGGTCATATGAACTTGTAAATCTATCAAAAAACCGACCAACTTAGAGAAATACTGGGATTGTACTCCCCAGATACGACAGAAAATAGCTTAGTTAATCATTTGACTCTGACAGACGTTGAGTATTCAAGGACGGAGCATTCCAATTAACAAGTATGGAACACAATAATTTCCGAGTTGTTTCTCAATATTATAAGACATAAGAACACTTACATTTGCCGCTTCGATAATTCTTTTATTCAAGGTGCATTCCCCAACAATGCAAATTTGCTTGCCTGCCGCAAGTGAAGAAATTGTAGAGGAATCTGAAATTAAGATTAAAATTAAAATTATTTTTGTTAATACACACACACTTACGATGAGTTCAACAGTGCATCCCACCAAAAAGGACAACAGAGTATACAGAAAAATTCAATAAAGTGGTTGTAATGGTCGCTTGCTGACTAGTGTTGTTGTAGCGTTAAGAACAGGGAGTCACCAGTTCCATTCTCAGTCAGCCGGCCCAAAACTGACACCCTTGAACAATATTTGACTGGGGCTGGTTGTTGATCAGAGACTGAGCAGGGATGGGACTTTAACTGAAAGGGCAGGATTACCTACACAGGGCCCGTTTGAAATAATGATAAAAAAACAAATTGAACTGGACTCTTCTAGACTAGCGTTGTTCTGCCGTTACTGCCTTTCGCACAGGGGATTTAGATGGAATAATAGAGTATTCATTTCCATTCCAAGGACAGTCGTGCAATTTCGATTTTCAGGATGCTCACTTCAAACAAGGACATCAAAATTCAGGGAATCTGTTTCCAAGACTATAAGTACCTTGATCTAGACTATGGCTGAGATCTCGATTGTATGATTATCAGTTGTAAATAAAAACAGACACGCCTCCAGAGCAGAACATTGCCAATAGCATTAACTTGGTTTAGAAGGGAGAGATAATCAAAAGAAGCTGATGCCTAACACTTGAAGTATGAAGAGAAAGGTCTTCCTCTTCCGCCTTCAAGCCCTCTTCGGATAATCCCTCAAAAATAGAGGCCTTCGGCATAGATGCGTCCTTGGGAATACGTACTAAGATCGACCCATTTCAAAAGCCTATTCAATACAATTCTGTGCGTTCCAGCATTCATTCGTAAGGGCAGCCTTTTTTGACGAATGCTCTAGGTAAACAAATGGTCAAAGTCCGAAGTTCTCTCATGGATGCTGACATGCTGAGGCCTTCGGGAGTGAAAGGTCCATAGAAGCACGTCCGTCACTGCTGAGGTCATGCACAAATACATTTCAAATTAATTGAAAGAAGATCACTTACTATCATCCGCAGTATTATCGTCTTCTACTTCCATTTTAAGAATTTAAAAAGTAAATTTCACACATTAGAAAATTGAACAAAAATAACTGATCGTCAAATGATCAACGTCATTGCCAACTTACATCCGCGAAACCGTGTAAGTAGCCACCGTGTCACCTTCAGCCAACGTCAAATATTTAGGGCTATAAATGTAAATCTTTCATGATTTAAATGTTTTATTTATATTTTGTGTATTTTTAAATTTTTATGAAAATAAAAGCGTCGCTACAAGGCATGAATAATCCAGTGAAAAATTTGAAATTTGAATGCGATCATTGCAAAGGTTTACCAATCTGCAGTTACCCAAACGGTCAAGATGGCCAATGAGCGTTGAGAATTTCAAATGTAATTCCTTTGAATCCACGAATGAACTGAATTGAACTCTCTGATTGGCCACTACAATATCCTGATCAGAGACCGCCAAATATGATTGTTGAAAAAGAGGGCGGCGACCCGGTTAGTAGCGACGGGGCACTGCGGGCCGATTTGAAGTAAGTTTAAATTTTTTATGAATCACATATATCTTATCATCTGTTTGTTTAATATTGGTGTTGGTTTTATCGATTCTAAATTTTCTATTAGTTTGCATTTTAATTGTTATAACTTGTGTTTTAATTGTTAACTAGCGGAAAGCCCGTGACTGAAGTCACGGGTCTAGATGCTTCACAAAAAATTATTAATTTAATAATGGGGAGCATTAAGCCAATATTGTTTCGGGGATGATGTACCACTATTCGACTACATGGGCGCTTGTTTTGCCTGAGTGAGCGTGCCATTTCACGACGATACCACTATTCGGCCACGCGGAAGCTCCTGTTGCCTACACTGAAATTGAAGGCGAAATGAAATGAGGTTAATTTAATCTTCTCTAGTTTGATGGTATATTATTTTTTAAAAACGTTATTGGAAAACTAATTAGGATGAACATAGATTAGACGGGATATATGCAGTATTATGCTTATCAATCCTTTTTCATCTGGAAAATGGCGGAAATTTAGTATTACGGACGTTTACGGTGGAATGCGATTGAAACTCTGGGTCCTGGAGATACGTGGTTTCGCACTTCAGTCGGTGCGATACGGACATCCATCAAGTTGAGAGAGGAAAGTTATAATGCCTTCAATTTTATACATACATATTTTTGGGCAAAATGAGAGACGACGTTTCTCCACTTGCGACGTTGCAGGCTTCCTTAGAAATTGTATTTTTTCTTCGAGAAACTGGTCAACATCAAACTTAAATTCTCCATGATTTTTCGTATGCGATAGTAGAAGATTTAGTTCTAAATTTAAAGTCGTAAATTTGGATTGTTTCTCATGGAAGAGATGAAATAAGAACAGAAATTTTGAAACACCGCAATGGAGATACGTGGTTTCGCACTTCAGTCGGTGCGATACGGACATCCATCAAGTTTAAAAAAATGCATCAAGTCCCCGTCACCGCCGACGTACGCGTTTGTCGATCGAATCAACTACAGGTAGTATGAGCAGGGAGTCAAAACGCCTTCAATTTTTTGAACGCAATACGGACATCCGTCAAGGTTGTATAGTTGTATCAAGGCGCCGTAGCAAACGCGTCCCATTGTTCATCGTTACAGACGAATATACAGATATTTAAGAGAGGAAAGTCATAATGCCTTCATTTTTATACATACACTAGTGGAAAGCCCGTGACTGAAGTCACGGGTCTAGATGCTTCAAAATAAATTATTTATTTAATTATTTATTTATTTGTTGTTCTTTGGGGGGGGGGG